TAGAGAAATATTTAGTAATGTAACATATTAGCTTATTACATTATTTTATACTTTTAATACTTTCAATTAAGTTTTAAAAATACAATCATATAATGCAGTAGAGAACATAGAGATAAGGAAATCTACAGATTGGAAAAATAATCTGTAGAGTGAAAAGAAACCGGATCTAACAACTTGTTATTTTTTAACAAAAATTTAAAGTAATATTTTCGAACTAAGTCGCTGCAGGCTGAATAATGATTTGAGTGATAATGGTGGTAATGATACTTTGGTGAGAAATAACTCAGAAATAGTTCTAAACACATAAATGCATAGTCAAACCACATCTAGATTTTGGCGCTTGACTAAAAGTGATATGTACATAAATATAATTAACCTTCGGAGTACGAAGACTGGGTCAAGCGTGACCCGAAATTCACTTATTTCTTAATATTTCATGAAATAATTTTTTTACAAATCTGATTGTTCGTAAGTTCTCCTTATTTGCTTCAATCTATTTTTTCGTGTATCATTCGTGAACATGCAAATTGCAGTTTTTCCTCTCCGTAAAATCTATGATGTCGGGTCAGTCCTGACCCGGTCTTCAGATTTTGGAGAATTTTTCAATGTGTTTGTAGGTACACGTAAAACGCAGCCGTCTCTGTTTTCCAGTAAACGTATACAAGGCAAAATGATTATGTTTGTAGAAATATTAGTATATAGAAGTTAACCTTGGGAGTATTGTAGTGTCTAATAGGCATATTCTATGGCAACGTCCGAGACGAGAGGTCTAACTTTGGTGTAAAGCGGTATTTCACGTTTGTTGGTCAATTTAATTTAAGCATCGATCTAGAAGTGTGCAGTATTATATCAAAATGTGGAAAAAGAATAAACCTTTGAGTGAAGCTGAGTTGTATGCCTTACTCCTATCAGATAGTGAAGAAGATGATGTTGCAGAGCTGGATGAAAGCAATAGTGAAGCGAGTGATAATGACGGTTATGAGCCAGAAGCACATGAAGGTAATTTATCAATTACTGAACTCGAGAATGAGGAAGTTTTATCGACAACTTCTGAAAATATAGATAGTGAAAGATCTAGCGTATCTGATGTTTTGTGCAAAGGACGAACATGGCGTTATTTAGCTCCAAAAAAGGGTAAGACATTGGCATGTAATTTATTACAGAAAAACGTAGGTCTAACTAAGAAAAGTCAAAATATTGAGACATGCATGGATGCCTTCAATTTATTTTTTTCTGATAGTATAATGTCAATGATTCTTGAGTATACAAGTAAGAGAGCTATTGAGTTCATAGCTGCGTATAACAGTAAGAACGAGAAAAAAATGAAGGATTGGATTGAAGCTGATCTAGTCAAACTACGTGCTTTTTTTGGTATACTTATATTATGTGGAAGGTTCAGAGAGTCCCATGAGAAGGTGCATAATTTATGATCCAATACAAATAATGCATTTACGCGTCCTATATATAAAGCAGCTATAAGCCGGGATAGATTTATAAGTATTTTGAAGCATATTCGCTTTGATAATTTGGCAACGAGAGCAGAAAGAAGAGAACAAGATAAATTAGCTCCTATTCGAGAAATCGCTGATCTATTTGCCCAAAATTGTAGGGAATCATACGAACCATCTGCTTTTGGTACTATTGACGAGCAGCTTATAGATTTTAAGGGACGTTGTCAATTTCTGATTTATACCAAGTAAACCAAAGAAATACGGTATAAAGGCTTGGACCCTATGTGACGCTGAAAATTTTTATTGCTGTAACTTTGAGATATATACTGGAAAGATTGGTAATCAATCTGAACGTAACCAAGGCCCAAGTGATGTCAAAACACTTGCAAAACATTGGTATAGGTCTGGTCGAAATATTACAACTGATTTTACAACTTTTTACCAATATTGCTTTATCTTAAGAACTGTTAACCAAAAATGTAACTCTTTTGGGTACTATCAGAAAAAATAGGAAGAGTTTACCCAAATCATTGCTTGAAATGACAGATCGCTCACTGCATTCTTCAAAATTTTTGTTCACTAAAAACATTACCTTAGTTTCATATGTAACCAAGCCTAATAAGTTTGTTGTATTATTATCGACCTTACACAATGAACATGAAATTTCTGATGAAAACTAAAAATTTAAACCAAAGATTATTTTGGATTACAACAAAACCAAAAGTGGAGTCGATATTTTAGATAAATTGATCAGAGAGTACACATGTAAAAGAGCAACAAGAAGATGGCCCTTACGTATATTTTTCAACTTTGTGGATATTGCGTGCTACAATGCTTTCGTTTTCTGGAATACGAAAAATGCTGAATGGAACAGCCAAGTAAATATAAAACATCGCAGAAAACTATTTCGGGAGGAGCTTGGAAAACAATTAACCTCGCCCAATATAAAACGAAGAGCGGAAGCAATACAAGAAGAACCCACCGGATACCCTAAATCCGTAACCGCTGCAATAGAGACCACCGGTGTTGGTGTAAAAAAGCAAATCGAAGTGCCGAAATCTGCAACAAAACGAGGTCGTTGTTATTCTTGTAGGGGTAGTGACAATAAATATTCAAAAAGGTGTGACATGCGTAAAAGATTTGTTTGTAATACTCATTCAAAACGCGAAGAAGTCCATATTGTCAAAATTAAATGCAACTACTGCCAAAAAGACCACGATGGTGAACCATCTTAAAAAATTTAAATACAAAAATTTGGGATCATAATTTTTATGTTTCTTTGTTTTTTTTTTTTTGTTGAATTAAAGATACTGTTTAATAATACTGACTATTTAAAACATCCTTATAAATAGAATGAGAATGGGTCACGCTTGACCCATCTTTGTAATCTAAGTAAGTCAAATAATCTCCGTACTCCGAAGATTCATGAATCTGGACATATTGTCGTATGAAGCCGTCATACTTGCTTTACATCACGATAGATTGACTTGCCAAGAATGATAATTATTAGAATTTGAAAAAAAGTAAAGAAAAATGAATGGGATATTATTGTCCTCTCAAAGAAGACGTAACACAGAAAAAAGGCAATTAATATTATTTGATGTGCAACTAGGTGTATAAAATTTTTATTCTTATTTTATCATTTTTCTAGTAAATGTGTAGAATAATCTCAAGGTAGTCTAGTTTAATGATCTTTTGGAGATCTGATACTTTATATTCATAAAATTATGTAAAACATTTCATGAATTTCGTTATTTGGAACAGAAAATTTTTAAGATTTTTACCGCAACGTCTGCCTGCATTCCTTAATAATAACTTTTATAACTTACATGCTGAATCCAGCAGTATTTTTATGAAACTCTCAACCTGCTTACGTATAAAATGTGATCTATGCGATGGTGTCGCAATATTTAAATAGACCGTATTTTTCGGCGACATGTCTCGTTCTGTGGCGATGTTGATATTCTTTTATGATTGTGCTTTCAATATGGGACCATGTAAATTTTGAAAACGTAATATATTTCGAAAGAAGTGCTCAGTAAAAATACATTTGAAGTGAATATCGGTGACCAGCCAAACAAACTTATGTTGTTTGTGTGTTGAATATATCTGAAAGCATATTTTTACTGTCAAAAGTTTTTTAGATAGCATATTGCTACGACAGTTTTACTGTAAGATTTAATCCATATAGAAAAAGTCCCTTGGCGAAAAAGAAGAAAAATTAAAAAACTATATTGTTCTAGATAGTATCGAAATGTCCCGAAATATCTTGAAAGTAAGGAAATGTATAAAAAGAAAATTGAGTTTAATATTTTTTACCTAATAAGATCGTTTTGCAATTAAATGCTGGTAATTTTATTACTAGCGGACCAGATAAGCAGCCATATATTTTACATTACTTTTATGAATAACATTTTACTGCTCTGTTGTTTCAATCTGCACTGCTCAACAAGTTATCTGTTTATCGGTTTTAATATTTAATTACAATAGTACGACTACGGAATATTTATTTAAACAGTGAATTTATTACATATTCATTTTTTTTTATTTCTTCTGACATCGTATAATGTAGGTTTGCCCAATAATCAAAGTTATGCCTTTACAAGAACATATTATTTGAAAAATAAGAAGCACCATGTGTCATCATAATTGTAATCTCCTTTATACAAACTTTAAAAATTTGTTTAGTAATGTATTTCTTGAATTCACACAAACATTGAAAAATGATTCATGCTGTTTAAAAATATCTTTCTGTTAACGACACTATCATCGACAAGTAGATCAAATTCAAACGTCATCATAATTATCTTCTGTTTATCGTTAAAAATTAATTGATGGTCGTGGGTTGTATTGGTGTTATTTAACAATTTAACAAAATACGTTATCAGCAAAAATCATATTTAAAACATGCGAACGATTTTTGCAATCACAATCAATGCAGTGTTTATGCTTGTTTAGCATTGGCTGTTGAATAATTTGTATTCGATTGTTTCGTCTGTTGTACAACCCTCGTCCTTTTTATGGTGTATTAGTTGTAAATAAGTACCTATTTTTTTCATAGTAGTGTAGTGAAGCAGTACTTTAAAACAAAATGAGTAAAATTTGGAAGAAAATAAAATACAATCGACGTAGAGTGTTATATAATAATAGAAGAAATACCTTCTTTAATATTCGGATTTTTCAGACTGTCTAATAATTTACTGCAAAACAAGCAAACGCATCTTAAAATCTTGATTGTTTTTGTTACAAATCCTACGTGAAATACTTTTTGTGCTAGCTCAATACTGTTCAGGGTAATCGGTCATATTTTCAGCACATGTCTGACATCTTGAGCTTGTGTGTATGACCATGTTTGAAGTTTATAAGACCGCATAGTTTAAGGCGTTCTGCCTCGACGAATTCTGACTGGTAATGACTGACATCCATCTAATTTTAACTGGACTGGATATTCGAAATAACACTATTTTAACTGTACTTACCGGGTTTTATTTTCGCTGTTAGCCTAGCAGATTTTGTGGTAACATTCAAAGTGCAATCAAGAACTTGTTCATGGTGCTTCAAAGAGATATCGTTAAAGATGTAATAGAAGCAATTCAAGAAGCTAACAACATGGAGCTGAAACCGACTCCAGGTAATACCTTGCGTCAGATGTTCAGAAATCAAGCAAACTCAATTCTTAACAACACTCGTGACAAAACCGGTGGTTCCGGTAAGAAATCTTTGGCTAAATACAATAACCTAACAGCTGTGGTGGAATCAGGATCCATCACTATTTTTACATTACTGTCCCGAATCCTCAGTTCAAGACATATTTTACAGAGACATCAATTGTCACTGAAATGTACCAGATTGGTGGAAGAAATGAGATTTATGTAACGGTAAAAAAGGTACTAGAAAAAGACATAGTAAAATGGCACATAATTTTCCGGGCACACTTTTGAAGGACTTGCAGTGGACATTCTCGATCCATTTCTGATGAAAGAACGAGAAAACAAGTACCTAATGGTATCAGTGGAATATTTTTCACACTGGCCTTTTCTTAATCAAGAAGCTACTAGAGTAGCAAAAGCATTCTGCTAGTTAATAGACATAATTGTCGTTATTGGAGTATCATTAATCCTCATTTATTCATGGAAACACAAACACTTCAGAAATTAAGTGTATGGGTTGGCATTGGATTATAAGCTGATAATAATATTTTAGAGGATGAAAACAAATAGGACGAGGCACCCCTACATTATGATATGCGCGTAAAAAAAACGTTGTCTAGGTCATTGAATTGGCAGAAGGGGTCCAATAGGGTGGCCGGCTATATCACCGGTTCTTTCTCCTTTGGATTTTTTTGTGAGGATATCTAAAATCAAAAATATATATCACTCCGCCTGCAGAGTTTGCAGAGTTCCAACAAAGAATTATGATAGAATGCCGATTATTGACACCGAAGGTATTTGAAAATGTAAAACGAGGCTTTAAAAATAGACTGTATTATTGTATAAAGGTCACAGGAAGTCATTTAGAACATTTAATTTGTTAATTTGATGAACTTCTATGTTTCTTTGTTATTACTGATGTTTGACCAATAAATTAGTTAAATCCAAAATTATCTTCAAAGTTATTTCAAAGATTTTAAAAAAATAGAATAACGTAAATGTGTATAGTGTACAGTGTTATAAGGAAATAGAATCAAAGTTTCGTAAATGTATTTTTTTTTTTCAAAAATTTAATTTTTCCAAATTTGACAACTGACTTATGCCCACCCCTGTAGAGGAAAACCTACTCACCATACAATGTTTAAACAAATATAAAAGAAAAAGAACATGACCTAAATTCAATTGGTTTTTCTTGTTACCTAGTAATTGATAGTAATTATGTAAAAAATTATCCGTTTTAACTCACTTTCTTGTTGACAAAGATTGTCCGGAGACATCAGAAAAAATTAACTAAAAAATTTACGATTTTCGTTATTGGTATCAAACTATGCTGGCAAAAACCTAATAAAATATTTTGTAGTTGCCAAATCTCTTCTCTTCTAGCAATTTTAATATATTATAAAATATAAAAATGTTCAAAAAATATAAAACATATTAAAGTGTGTATATAGTGTAAATGTTTGTTAATCAAAACTTCCGCAAGACGTTACATTATTCGAAAAGTTATACATGCAGATATCTATGTCAACATATTTTTCTTCGTTGACCCAATAAATTTCCATTTCCTCAAGCTGTTTCTTGTGACCTTTCCAGAAAACTACATCTCTAGAAGCTAGAAAACCTGCCAAAGTAGGTTTTCGGTATTATTGAATTTACATTTCGTCGAAAGACGTGCCAAAAGTTTAATGAAACAATTTACGAGATGGTGTTACAGTAATATAAAGTAGGTTAAAATTGTACACAATCATTATTAATAGTATCTAAGGGGTGGTTTGTCAGTATCGATGTAAGATTTAATTTTTATAGTAAATTAGTTAGAGTTATAGTAAAAGATGGTTCGTCAGTAAAATTTAAAAGTCAAGACATATTCCTAAATTGAGTAGAATAGAAAAGAATGTTCTTAATTAATCCAATGAGATTAAAATGTGATACAGGACAGTTACAAAAAACATAATCAACAAAATATAATAGAGCGTCTCTGAACCCCATCGGTCCTCATTCGCTATAGTCTTTTATTAAGTCAAAATAATCATTAAGGTTGTAAACGCACAATTGGATCAAGCATGATTTTAATTTATTTTTGAATGTTTAAATATTATTTTCATTTCTCATATTAAGTGGCAAACAATTGTAAAATTTAGATCCAGCAAAATCAGGACCAGTTTCAAAAAGGGCTGTGGAGTGTTTATACACGCTTATCAACCTCCCGTGTCTTGTCAGGTAAATATGAAAGTCAGAGGTAAGGGTAACATTTTGAAATTTAGTTTTGACGTAAATTATACACTTATAAATATATAAAGCATGGAAAGTCAACAGTCTGTGTTTAATAAAACATTTACGACATGATTGTCTATATCAATATTGGATACCAATGTAAGAATTCTCTGTTAAGTTATAAAAACTCTAGAAGAGTTTCTAGAGTTTACCCACAAGACAACATTATAGGCCATATATGAATAAAACAATGCACAATACACACTTATCAATTGATTGGTATTAGATAGAGTTTTGAACTGAAGGATCGCATAGTAACCTTTATTCATTACACATGTCATATTACTTTCTAGAATGCTACCAAGAAAAAATGTGTTACTAAAAGGTATTTCCTCAGAACTAACTGTGATTTTATAATTATGGGATGGCTTACAGCGCGAGTAGAATTGCATTCAAATAGTTTTCTTTACATTTACCATTAAAGAGTTCCTTTTACACTAGGTTGTAACTTCCTGTGCTACCAAGTTCATTTTTGATATGAGTTCGACTTCAGTTGACTCGTCAACTACAATTGTTGAGTCATCTGCATAGGGAACTGTATCATCTGCAGTTAAAAAATTTATCAAATCAATGACATATAAAAGAAATATTAAGGGTCCCAATACGGAGCCTTGCGGTACACCTTGATCAAGATTAAAAACAGATGACTTCTTATTATCGACTTTTACTAGGAATTTACGATGTTGTAAGTATGACCTTAGCCAGTTCAAGAAATGACCCCGAAAACCAAGGGCTTATAATTTATGCAGTATAATTTCAATGTCAGTAGAGTCAAAAGCCTTAGTTAAGTCAAAAAATAGTGCACCCACATACATTTTTCAATCCAAAGTAGCATGGATATAATTAAATAATAAAATAGAAGCACTCTCTGTAGATTTATTAGAACCAAAACCCATGCTGGCATTTATTTAAGATATCATATTTATTCAGAATATTTAACATTTTATTGTAAATACACTTTTCGATAATCTTAGAGAGTACACTTGTTACAGTGATCGGTCTGTAATTATCAACCAAACATGGATCTCCCTTTTTGAAAATTGGACGAACTACTCTTGTTTTAAGGTCACTTGGAAGCTTGCCATCCTCGACAGATAGGTTGATAATGTGAGACAGAACAGGAGATTTATATGAAGAAATGTATTTAATTATTTTAGTAGGGATTTGGTCAATACCTAAACTATTTGCAAAAACCATGGCTATAAACCAAAACCATATGGATTTTCTTGAATCCAAAAACCATGTGGATTTTTAAAACAAAACCAAGGTAGAGTTTCTTATACCAAAACCAAGGTCAACGTGAATTTTCTTTAACCATAACCAAGGTCAAGGTAGATTTTCTTTAACCATAACCAAGGTCAACGTGAATTTTCTTTAACCAAAACGAAGGTCAACGTAGATTTTCTGTAACCATAACCAAGGTCAACGTGAATTTTCTTTAACCAAAACGAAGGTGGGCAGACTGTTGGAAGTTTCTGACCACGAAGATTTATTTTTGAGTACCTTGTCGTTTGCTGGTTTATTTTAAAAAAGAAATTAAATCGGATCGGATTGATAGAAGTAAATTATTTAGTGGTCGGGTTTCTGTTTCTTGTATGATAAAGTAAGCGAATGTATAACTACGAGAGGACTTAAGAAATTAATCGGTGAATTTATTTGTAATATGAAAATATTGAAATGAAATATAGGAACACAAACAAAGGAAAAAGAAGTTATTATCAACGAAAATCAAATAGTATGAGCAGAAAATAATGGAAAGTACTTTGAATTTAATAAGAACAAAAATGTAACGTTTTAAAAGTTACATAGTGCGGTCTCAGAAAAAAAGAATGTGTTGTTAGTTGTCATAGTTGTCATAATAATGTGTGTTTGACTGATGTACAAAACTACTCAACAAATTTATTTGCTATATGTTCTGGATGTATCAATACTTTATTATTATCAGTAATACTCCACTCAAGATTGTTTTTATTTTTACCATTTAACGATTCACAGTTTTCCATATTTCCTTGCATAGGGAACTGTATCATCTGCAGTTAAAAAATTTATCAAATCAATGACATATAAGAGAAATATTAGGGGTCCCAATACGGAGCCTTGCGATACACCTTAATCAAGATTAAAAACAGATGACTTCTTATTATCGACTTTTACTAGGAATTTACGATTTTGTAAGTATGACCTTAACCAGTTCCAGAAATTACCCCGAAAACCAAGGGCTTGTAATTTATGCAGTATAATTTCAATGTCAATAGAGTCAAAAGCCTTAGTTAAGTCAAAAAAGAGTGCACCCACATACATTTTTCAATCCAAAGTAGCGTGGATATAATTAAATAATGAAATAGAAAATAAATTCTTTTATTATTATTTTGATTATGTAAATAACTTTGATATGAGGCTTTTATTGTATCCTTTACCTTACGGATAAAGTTGGCCTTTTGTATTTTATAGTTAAACATTAAATTTGAATTACCACTAACATTTGCTAACCAAAATAAATCTTTTAGCTTTTTACTAAGCTGAAGAATTTCAGTATTGATCCATTTTCTGTTGGTATTAGTAGTTATGCATTTTGATATTAAAGGACATATTGTATCAATATGATAGAAGACAGAGTTCAAAAAAGCTCTATATGCATCATCTACATTTTTTGAATATGTATAAACACTTTCGAAATTCTCAAAATCAACCGTTTAACAGTCAAGAACCACAACAAAAAGATTTGACCTACTTAAAACTGTAGATCGACGTAGAAAAGCAATTTTTTCTCGAATCGTAAGTAGTTGTCTCTGATAATTTGTAAACTGTATTAGTTAATAAAGAAATAGGTACAACTAAGTCTGAACGATCATAACCCATCTGGAGCTACCAAATTGAACTGAAAAATATTGCAGAAGAATCCAGAATCTTCATGACACAGTTCTAAAGCTCTAAAAATTAAATCTCCTAAAA